TACGTCAGTGAAGCTAGGTGACGAGCATCTAGCTGTAGGTACACAGCAAAGTGTAGATTCTAAAGTTGTTAGTTTAATATATATTTGAATATCATTGTTTTTGCGTTATTTAATTTATATTCTATTACTTATAGAATCAAAAAATATAATTATTTATACATATAATATAAATTGAATAACGTTTAATAAAATAACAGGCTACCTACGTGTGTAGGTATTCAAATTCTTCGCTTATCTAAGCTTTTTTATCTAAAGAATTCAAGATCATTACTGAAGACTTCAGGATGTTCAATCTAAAATGTAACTTCGTAAATTCCTGAATGTAGCAGATTTATTTACCCCGATATAATAAAGATAAAATTCGCTGTCTGATTGTTAGTGTCGAAGTTTTCGTAAATTGTATTATATTAACAAGATCAGTTCTACTATGAAAAAGGAGGATTTTTTTGATCCTCTCTTTATCTGGTTGTTTATACCACCACAACCACAGAGCTAATTGAAAAACCTAAATATCTTTAACAGATACCGATTGATTTCAGATGAAATTTATACTTGGGTACCTACATCGTGAAGTAACGATCAGTTTTTATGGCTTGTGCTACAATATCTACTATTAAATACGTGGGTATTATTCATTTAAGGTATTTTTTCAATACTTCATTCTATCAACAAAAGATACTAGGTTCTATAAACTATAAAACAACAACATATTTTTTTTGACAATTGCTTTTAAACATAACAAAAAAACTGACTTGTGTTTATTCCGGAAAAGCGAGTCAAGCTGCTATAATACTTTACCTACTTTAAAAAAAAATGAAACTACGTAGCCTCGGTAAATCTAAATAAATTTCTCTCTATAACAAACCTCATATAATTTGGTAAACATTGGGTACTTTGACAGCAACGTATTTCCCTCCATATTTGCTCTTCTTCGTGGTGTGTATTTAATAATAATTATTCTCAGTCAAATTACACAGGCACCTGCAATTATAAATTGAATATTTTCCTACTTATTTATGTACACAGAACCAATTTAACAACTAATTAGTTAATCGAATTGATTATTTGTGAACGAATGAAGACGAGGAATGAACGAAGTCCCGAATAAATTCTCGTTTCGGTCTTCGGGAGGGGCGATCGTCATAATGACCTATTTATTACTCGAACATTTTCTCGCTTTTCCAGAATTACCTGTAGCCGTAGAGTGCTCAGATCAAATTGGGGAAACAAATTAAACGGTACTTTCATTTAATGTAAGTATACTAGGTATACTAGCTCGCCTATTAAACTATTAAGTATACATAGGTATTAAGTAGGTATATGTAAGTTTTTCAGTTTTATATCATATAAGAAGGTAATTTAACGAATATCTGAATAACGGCTACCAATATCGTAACCAAACTAGATAAATTTTGAATATAGAACGTAATGTTAGTAAATAGTTGTTTATTTAAGTTTATCCTTAATTCAAACGTGGTAAATCAGTCGCTAATTCTACTTGTAGTTTGAACGTATAATTCAGATTTAAAGCATTTGGGATGAAAATATCTTTGAAAAGATGGACGTTAAATAGCAAGAACATACGAGCTTGCCTTACGTTTAAAGAAAAACAGGGTCGCAGTAATGGAGCTATGTAATATTTACCACAACGCACGCTACTGCCGGCTAAAGGAAAACATTACGCGTGTGAGAGCTAACAGAATAAATGATACAGTCTGCATTAAGATCCCCTGCCAAGGTTTCGAATCGCAGGAAAGTTTATCTCGACTTCAACTTGCTCATGTCGTAAAGAAGTTTATAAGTGGAATTACAAATTTTCCCTGAAATGATTTGATTTTCGACCTACTAGAGAAATATAAGTAAGTATGAAGTATACCTACCTCCGTAAATTATGTAAGTACTTTGAATAATAAAATAGCTATAAAATAATTACTGAAGCATTAATTTCAGCTAAGATAAATAATTTGGTGACAAATTTTCGGAAATTAGGAATTTATTTGAGTAAACCAGATACTGAATTTTCATTGGATAATTTAACCATTTTGAAATTCGAAGCCACTTGAAAATTTTATCATAAAACTTATGATTAGAAAAAGGATTTACAAAACTTAAATTAAATAGTTTTTAAACTCGTAGTAGTGTAAAAACATGAATTCAAGATTTTTATTATTAGTGGAGTGGTATCGAGAGTGGGAAGATATTGATCATTGTATTTGGGTATGTAATATAATTTATTTTATTTAAGTCTGAAAATTTTTCAGGTTAAGTAAAAATCCGACTGTGTATGAAAAAGCTAAATTATGATTCGCATCTAATACTTAGTTAGAGGTGCTTATAAAGTATAGGTACCTACCTACATAATATAAAATTATAAGGCTCAAGTTAGTTACACGTTACTGAAGCCTCCAAATTACCTCATAAGAATTTTATAAAAAAAAAGCTTGAATTGGCTATTCCTTTTGAACTCTATCAAATTCCCTTTGGAAAATGACGCTTATAGTAGGTAATGCCTACCTTCCTTCTAACTTTGAAATATGAGAGAATAAGGTTTTAATAATGAAAGATTAAAAGCACATCCAACGATTTACCTAATCGTTGTCTTGTTCTGGTCCTTTGTCCGTGTTCCACTTTATCTACCTGATATTTACTCATTTCGTCGTTTTATGTTTTTGTCTCGAAGTTTTTAATATTTCCTAAATCTTTTTTACTTACTAGCTTTCATTTCTTTGAAGACACTTTTTATACTTATTTATTTACATAGGATTGTTTGCAACGTTTATGTGCTAATAATGTTACTTAATTTTTGGGATACACAAGAAGAGTTGCAAGTGTCTTACCGATCTTTCTCGAGGATAGGGAGAAATATTAAATAGATGGTACAGACATGTACACTGAGTTAATTTATTTTTAAGTGATTCGTTATTTTTGTTTTGATTACCTACAATACACTTGAACAGACTGATTAACTAATTTGAATTTGAAATCGTGCTTAATATTTTAGCTCATTGAACTGACATCTAGCGCAAAGTTTCCTCAACTACCGATAGGGGGAAAACAACGATGTATACCAAACTCTAAAGAATTCCAACAAGCCCACTGGCAGCGTACAGCTTGCTAGCCGATTCATTTGTATGCCATACTCCATCAACAGATGGCGCAAGTTGTTTTGACATCACGAGTTTTAAGTGATTGCTATTTTAAAACTCGTTTTAGGCAAGTTATTGATTAATTTGATATTAGTGAATAACTCCTGGACTATTTTGATGCGCACGTTATTGAATTGTTAAAATCGCCTGTGTCTTTCTTTCTACTAATGTTGTTTGATGCTAACTATAAATTTACCATTGACATAATAACATAAGAAAAATAATAATGTTTTATGTACCTAATATATTAGATAAAAACTACCGTTAAGATGTACCTATGCACAAAATAACTTATAATTTTTAACGTGCACAGATAGAACGATAGAATCAATGTTCCCCTAATGTAACAATGAAAATACTTATATGCACCAAACGCGGATCAGCTATGGTTCGCACATCTGCGAAATTAAAGGCATCCACAAACTACATTTCCGCTAAGTATATTAAACCGCTGTCTTTTGCCCGTGTACTAATGTTTGTTATAACAACTACGAGGGAGAATACAGTAGACCTCTTTTTTAAAAAAAACTTACATTTGTGGGTACAACTTACTTAGGTAATTATCATCAACACCGTTGATTTACTATTCCTTTAACCGGCTTCACTATAAATTATAGTTGTCTATAATTATAGCAGCTTACTAAGTTTTCTTAGACTTGTTTTTAATTTGCCTTAGTTACGCTACTCTTATTAGACATGTCTTAATTTTGAGTACAAATACAGCGCAGTGCAACTGTGATGTTCTGACGTCAATAACAATTGAAATTACCGACAACTTCCTTTGTTTGTTAGAAAACGGGCGAGAACTTACTGAATTGAAGCTCGATTGTTATTTTTTGTTAGGAAATTTCGTAACTAGCAACTCAGGTAGCTTTGCTTGTTATTAGATACTTATCATAGAAAAATAACACGCTTTTTTCATGGGTGTATTAACACCCCTATATGGGCCAGCATTACCTACCTACCTACCTTCGCTATCTTGAATTAAGTATCTTTCGTTCATTTAGACTTGAAATGCATTCCATAGATGATTATTTTTGAAAGTTAAAAGTTTTACCCTTCGTCTTGTCTAGAACAAAGAAAAATCCCACAAAGCACCGGCGTTGGATCTTATCCTGCCCATAAATTCTTTTTGCAACAAAAAAATACAACAACCATTGTATAAAAACCGTGGGTGAATGTGGGACGAGAGTAGGTAAGTAAATGGGAAACGAGATGAGAAGACGAGAGGAGCGCGGAGCATAGAGATTGGGACGACGCCGCTCCGGGCGGGGGGCCCGGGAACGATTCATTGATCCGAACCGTTCTCGGCACTGCGACAGGGACAACAAAGGGAGGGCCCGCCACCATTTATTTTCTCTCTCACTCCATTCAATGCTAAATCCCGAACACCTACATTATTACATTTATGAATAAAGTAATATTTGTTAAATTTTGGCGGATAAATGTATATCACTAGAAAATATTAATTTATTTCTAGTTTGGAATTTAGAGTTGACCTTGGTATTGAACACAAGTGACGTTTATTTTGAGCATCTTTGTAAACAACATTTTTATACCAAATTCTAAGAGAGTTTGGACTAGATATTCAATAAAAACCCGAATATATATATAAAATAAGCCCAAAGTACTTATCTAATGTCCAAATTAAGTACTATTCTTCAATAAAATTGTTGTTATTATGGCTTGGTTAGGTTGGTTGATTGGTTGTGACCGAAAAGTTAAAATCATCTGTAATTTTGTGTAAAAGCAACGGCAATATTGTTTGTCACGTTTCGTACGCCGAATAAAGCCGACTGTATCTCCTGTCCCTGTCTTTCACATGGTGAATCGCACGGGCGAGGCGACTCGGTGAGTAGCCACGCGTGCTCGTACCCGTCCGTTGTTGCACATCGACATTAACCGCTTTCAGTGCTAGAGCGCGTTCCTCCGCGCTATACTCACATAACCTAAAAGTTAAACAATTCTGATAATTTTAGTACTGTTCATTGTCAAAACGTTAAATACTCATGATTACCTCGAATTTATAAGTTAGTGTTGTGGAAGTTTACGCCCAGATAAAGGGCGTACGTGGAGTGAATTTTTGTGCAACACAAAGTAAATACAAACGGCAAGCTGTGGGGTTCAGGGGCCTTTTTTTTGCCGCCGCAGGGGATGTACTATCCTGTGAGTATACACTTCAATATCTATCGCGATAAATAATGTTTATATTAAGACACAGAGATGATTATTTGTTTTTTGATCCAGGGACTAAAATGATAACCCTGGTGTTATAGTAAACGGAGCACTATGTTATGGCACCTATATGGCGCATGGCGTTACATTTTAATAGTATGGTCTCATTGGTACATAGTACAAAAGATCATAGATGTTAAATTGCTATTGATAGTTTCAGGATCTATTTAAACTTTTATCTTAACCGATTTAAGGGAAACTATAATTAACGTGGTCTTTAAATTACATATTTTTTGATGAACTTTTAAAACAATTACGTATCGTAAATACGGATCATTGAATCTCTTCTTGCACCCATTGTTATGACATTGAAGTTGAATGAATTCATTGAAATTCATATAGTTGTCTTTTTCTGTTACACTAATAGTGACGTAAGATAAAAAGAGAGAAGCTTTAGTTTACCCAGAACTTCATCAGTTAATTAACATACATTTTAATAGTTGAATAATAACATTTGTTTACGATGCAACTTTATGGATACTTAGTGATTTAGTATGCACTTACTTTGATAATATAACTAATAAAAAAGCTGAGATTCATAGTTATATTATCATGGTTAGTAAACGTCAAGAATTCCATAATTTCAGGATAGCGTAACCAACGAAATAAAATATTGATACCCTCACACACCGTATAAATATCAAATTATAATAATTACAGTTTTACGGTATTTAAGTAATACTTGAAAAACACATATTAAATAACAGCTTTTTCACTAGTCTCTCCGTCTATTATCTATTTATAATAGGATCCTGTAGTGTTATTTCGAATAGTTAAAATATATATAAAGCCCACTTCCAGGCCAACTAACAAATTAGATAGGTACACCTGAAATTAACATCTCAATGCTAATGTTTATTTGCGTGTGTTGTTCATTATAATATGATACGTACTTAAGTACTTGGCAAAGTAACGTGGTATTTATCTGAAGACTTACGTGGACAGCAAACATTAAAAACATAAATAATTATATTTTTATTGGGACCTGTTTAATGATCCAAAATTCCTCATCACCGACCTGTTTACATAGAATACGTACCTACCTTTATTTTATTAAAATATCTTGCTAAATCTGTGTTTGGATCGCTTGAAGAGTTGGCGCCACCGATTTGGCTGTTGTGAAACAAATTTTATTAATAATCTTAACCCACTTTATTTGAATTTGTTAACAAGTATATTTAGGAGGTACCATGTTTTGTTTCATAAATACACATGCCTACGAATAATATAATTCGAGAACCTTAACACATTTTATGGTCTTGTTACATCTAGACAATTTTCTGTCACCTTTTCGGTACGTATACGCAGTCCGAATACACGGTTCCTTTCTCCTATACGTAGGTTATAAATACGAGTACATTATAGGCAATAATGAAAAAAAAAATCAGTTACAGCGGGTAGATTGCATCCACCTACTAGTCGGGTCGGGAGTTTAGTCGTTTTGAAATTTTGCAATAAATACAACAAGCTTGCTCCCCTCGGTATATTTGGAGCGTGTTGCTTGCGTCGGAAGGGGGACAGGAACCCGTTCATGCCTCAAGGTGAACGCGAAACTCCACCGGGTGATGGTAATAAGGACAAATTATTCGCATACCGGCCTTTTGTTCACATCTCCCTCTTCATGGATGTATTAACTTCACGACTTCGGGTCGACTACCTGCCACTAAACATTGAAACATCGAACGAAGCAGGTAGCAGCAAGCCGAACCTCGTCCTCGTTCTATAACGCAGCTGGCTTTACTGAACAACGTTTTTCTTTTTGTTCCATTGTATATTTTAATTACGATTACCTGGAGTGCGTTTTATACAATGGGATGGACATACACTTTATTTATCTTTGTAAATTGCTGTTTTCAAGAAAACCAGAAAAAGGGCTAACATAATACAAATACTCTGAGATGACCCAAGCCTATTTGGCTGGCTTCTTGCTTCGATCCCTAAATCACTGCTGGCCGAAAGAAAAAAAGAAAAAAATGTGTCAAAATTCCTTTCTATTATTTTATTCCTATCTATTACTTGGAAAAAATATGATATTTTAGCGGTTCCTTTATTCTAATAGCAGGTCTGTCGGTATACGGAATCCCTAAAGTTCTAAATTAATTTAAATGTTCAAAACACAGTCGCCCTTGTCGAATTCGTTAATGACTTACTTATTTCGCTCGTTTGGAACTCCATCGAGATGACGGAAATGAAGTTATCCTAAGTTTCCGGAGTCTTAACGCTTATTAATTTTTCTTTGCTATATTTATTTGTCAAAAATAATTAAGTTTTATTAATTAAAAAAACAATTACTTAAAAATAATATTTAATTTTGTATTAAAAATACGTATTTTTTTTAATTTAAGCTAACATTTAATTTTGTATGTCGATAATAAAAAATTGTAACTTAAGAAACTAACATTTTTTCCTACAATGGCAACAAGGGTTCACAATGATATGGCAAATAGATTTCCGTCCTACATTTTGCTTCGGATGACGGCTTGCATTCTGCTATTTAAATCTTGTCGCGTCAAGAAAATGTGTACGCCTTTCCTTTCAGTACATAAGTGCATGTACTTACCTAGTGTTATATCCATATAATTTATATATGTAGATGAGCACATTTAGTCCAATTCAATTCGTCCAATAAATTGCTCACAAACTATGTTAAAATAAAAGCCATCTTCAGGACAAGTTTCTGAAGTCCCGTAACTTTCTTTTTAACCGATTTAAAAAAAGGAGGTTCTCAATTCGTCTTTTTATGTTATTAGTTCATAATATATAATGTTAAACATGTGAACTAGTAATAGTTAATTGTACATCGATTTTTTAACATGATGTTAAAACCTTCGTACAGCCACTAAATCTCAAACCATCCAATAAATCTCGATTGGGTCCCTTGTCCCACAATAAAAGAAGTTACGGGTAAGCTGAAACTGGCAGGCACCGCCACTAGGTAATCGATACAAAATATTACAGTACATATTTATAATAATATATAATGATTTCGTCCTTAATTCGGCAGATTTAATATAGTGCGAAATAATAAAAAGTCGCGGGTTGCGTAGTAGTTTTTACTACCTAAATTGGTTTTAGAACACGACGATATTTTGTTTATTGAAGAACCTTTCTTTCGCAGCCGCTTTCTCTTACATGTACTATGTACTCTTAGCAAATACACGCATCATTCCAACGACATATCTTTGAACCTTACCAAGAAATGAAGTAACGTAACATTCCCCAAAACTTTTATTACTGCAGTTAGAAATATTAAGAAACAAAAAATAAACTTTTAATATTGAGTGCGTTTTGAGAAACAAAGGCTCAGTTCCTTGCTGTCGAGTGAGACTATGCTAGGCATACGATCACTAAAGGATCAATATCATGTGATTCGTGTGTACTGTGTATATACAGAAATACATTTATATTGATAGAAGCATAAATAATTTGCCATCAAGCGAAAGTATCTGAATCGTATTGATATGAATAAAAACCCTATAACTATGTAAGGTTTTTTTTATTTCCACGCCTTTATATTGGTTACTTTAATGTTTAATAGTGCGTAGCATAAATTGTGAAGTCTTCCAAACCAAAGATTCAATTTTGTCTCTTTCGTGTTTTCGACCAATTACCTCGTACGTCTTCTTTTGATATAATTTCGGTGAGTTGATTGTATTGTATCCATTTCACTTACCCGCATTTTATTATATTCAGAGCAACCATCGTGCGCCGCTCTACTGAAAAGATGTAATATCACTGTGATTCCATGGGATGTAAATGCTTGATTTTCTGACATTATTTTGTATTCCATGGAAAAATCTTGGTTATAAATGTCCAATATAGTTTAATTATTTATCAACGTGGTGCTGAAATAGCCTTTAATTTCTATCCATTAAAGTAAAGGGCAATGGGATCAATAAAATATAAAGAGTCAATGTCTATGTCGATAGCAGATTTACTTACAATAGAGTCCATTGGATATTGATGTAGTACCCTTCAGCAGTAAATTGAAGACGAATTTAAATTACGCATTAATATCAAAAGCTGCAGTATCATTTCCCTTGTGAATTGTTGCATTGCGAAAGTAAGGAAAATCATATTTTGATTAAAACAGACGCTAAATTAGAGATCCCATTTACAGACTTCGATACAGAACAGGCATTAAAAAAATTCAATCAATAAATTTTGGCCACCAACTAAATTTATTTACGATAATCGGTCGCTGGAAAAGCAGAGCACCTGCGTCTATACGTAATCCTTCACTTTATAACGGGATAAATTTCACGACCAGGTGCTCAATCTCTGTCTGAAGATGTCGAGATTCAAGAATCTGATATCTGGCACGGAATCTAACAAATGAAAATCATGATATATAGATCATATATATAAACAGAATTAAAGGAATTGCATTCATGGGTATTTTAATCTATACTTTTCAATTGATCAACGTATCAATCATGAACTATTCCTGCGCGGTTTCGCCCGCTGCTGGGTTCCTAACGGTCAAGTGATGATGAATGAATGAATGATGTTTTGGTTTTCCAGACAAATGTATTATCGAACACAAAATATTTTTTAAATTCGAACCAGCAAATACACAGATTAGTGCGTTTACCCGACCAAAATGGAACAGTGACAAAGAAGTATAGGTAAATGTAACATACCGTAAAGCACGTCTAATACTGTTTTTGTTATTTGTTTTATGTCTATATTGGGAAACGTAGATAGATATGATAAAAAAGTATATTTTTGACATTAACAAAAAAACATGTTTTAGTAGTCGTCGGGGAAAGATTTTTTATGGAAATGTATTTATTTAAAAATATAAAAGGAATGTTAATATTTCCAATGTAATTGAATTTTAAGAGCAGTTAGTAAATTTCTAGTTATTCTGCATTATATCGTCGAAAATAATCGTTTGGTAAATGCAGATCTTAGTAATAGGTCTTTAG